TGGATTTGGCTGATGGAATCCTCAAGTCTTTGTTTAATTCTTGCCTCTATTTCCTATAAATTAGTTAGGTTGGAGGCTTCATTAGACTCAGAATTCTTCTGAGGCATATACTCATTCCTGTTCTATTCTATCTTGAGGCACACGGGTCTTTTGCCCCACTTTTACTAGTGCCAAGCCTAATGGTTTCAGTAGCTCTTGATGTGTGTTTTAAATTTAACTGAATGGAAGTAGGAGACAAGAAAGCCTATCTAATGATGCTGGAGAGCTGGTGAAATCTAGATGGTTGAATAGGAATTTGATTTAGCAGAGAAAATAGGGCAGGTATAGGGAACCATGTGTGCAAAGGCAAGACCCTGAGAGGAAGTGCAAGGATTCTGGCATGGGCAGAGGAGTGGGGAACTGGAAGATACAGTTAGAAGTGATCGGGGTCCAGACAGTAAAGGCTTTTACATGCCCTGAGGAATCAGTGATGTCCTTGATCAGAGCAGGCAGATCAGACCTGATTTTTAGACAACTCTGGCTGCAGTGGGAGGCTCCCATGCAGATGGGGACCTACCAGTGATGAGACTCCAGGCAGGAAAAATCTGGGCAATTAATGGGCAGAAGCAGGCCACAGTCCCTGGGAGTAAGAGTGCATTTGGAAAGTGTTTGGAATTGAGAGATTTTGTTGGCTGTTGTTAGTTGTGGGTGGTGAGAGTCCCCCAGTTTCACTAAGATGCAGAGAGAGAGCTGAGGGGGCAGTGTAGGATGGGGCGAGGGTAAGGGCTATAAAAGAAGTTACTTGGCTGCAGCAGAAGGTGGAGGGTGGACAGGGTCTGACCAGTCGAGTGTGGCCTCTTCCATGGTGGTAAGAGGTGAACTGTTGGGTGTGAGGGTCTGCAGCCCAGGAGAGCGGGTGGGGCTGGCTGGACCCTTCTGAGTCACACTGACAGCTGGGCCCCCTCATTCATCAAAGTTATTTATTGAGCACCTACCAGGCACTAGGAGTAAAGCAGAGGACAAAACAGACAAAATTCCTTTCTTCCTGGAACTCTCTAGGTGGGGTGAAGTGAAAGTCACACAGCCGTGTCCAACTCTGAGATCCCATGTACTGTAGCCTGCCTGGATCCTCTGACCATGGGATTCTCCAGGCAAGAATACTGGAGTGGGTTGCCAGGCCCTCCTCCAGGGGATCTTCCCAACGAAGGGGTCAAACCTGGGTCTCCTGCCTTGCAGGCAGATTTTTTTACCAAATGAGCTACTAGGGAAGCCCCTAGGTGGGGTGGGAACACAGTTAACAAATGACATGTATAAAAAATTGAGGCGGGAAAGAGAGCAAAGCAGGAAAGGGAAGACTGCAGTGTTAAGTGAGTGATCAGAGAAGGCCTCACCGGTAAGGCGACACACGAAAAGAAATCAGAAAGAAGTAATAAGCAAGGTGGGCTTCCCAGGTGGTTAGTGGTAAAGAATCCACCTGCCAATGCAGGAGAAATAAGGGCCGTGGGTTCTATCCCTGGGTCGGGAAGATCTCCTGGAGGAGGGCATGGCAACCCACTCCAGTATTATTGCCTGCCGAATACCATGGACAGAGGAGCCTGGCAGGCTACAGTCTGTGGGGTCCCAAAGAGTCAGACACCCTGAGTGACTGAGCACAAGAGGGGGACTGAGGGGGAGCAAGGCCTTGTGAGGACTTCGGCTTTTACTCCGAGCGTGATGGGCCTCATTGGCCGTAAGCATAGCGTTCTTTTCTCAGCCTCCACCTCCTCCTCCCCAAACCTCAAAGTATGGCTCTTCCACTCACCCATGCTCCCACCAGCGTGGACCCTCTGCCCTGCCCCAAATGCAACATGAGACCTAGGCCAAATAGGACAGGCCTTCACAAAAGGTTCCAGGAGGAGGAGGAGGCAAAGACCTGGGCCCATACACCCATGTTCATAGCAGCATTATTCCCAATAGTCAAAAGACAGCAACAACCCAAGAGCACATCAACAGAGGAATGGATAAACAGCGTGATATATACATACGATGGAATATCATTCGGCCTTAAAAAGGAAGGGAATTCCGACGCATGAAACCATGTGGATGGATCTTGAAGGCGTTGTAGTAAGCGAAGTAAGCCAGGCACAAAAGAAAAAATAATGTATGAGTTCACTTATAGGGGGTATCTAGAATAGTCAGTTCATAGAGCCGGAAAGTAGAATAGTTGTTGCCAGGAATTGGAAAGAGGGAAGAGCAGGGAGTTACTGTTTATTTGGTATAGTTTTTCTGTTTGAGCTGATGAAAAAGTTTGGGGAATAAAGGGTAGTGGTTGCCCAACATTTTGAATGTAATTAAAACCACTGAAATATATGTCTCAAAATGGTTAAAACAGTGAATTTTATCTTATGTATATTTTTCCACATCTTTTTTTCAAAAGAAAAAGGAGACCTGGGCCCAGATTGGCCTCTGCCTGTAACTCCTCTCTGGCTAGTATCCTCCCATGCAAATGAGGGGTTCCACAGATGGACTTAAGGGAATCCTTTACAAAAGCTGTAAGCAAAATCGACGCCTCTCTTCAGATGCAAGAAGCGTAAGATCTACTTTAAGTGGGAAAAAAATAATGTTCAGAGTAGAATGGGTAGTATCATACTGCCACTTAAATAAAAAAAGGAACAACTAGGGACTTCTCTGGTGGTGCAGTGGATAAAAATCTGCCTGCCAGTGGCAGGGAACATGGTTCAATCTACTGAGCCCGTGCTCTAGTGTCCAAGAGCCCCAACTACTGAAGCATGTTGGCCTAGAGCTGCGCTCCTCAACAAGAGAAGCCACCTCAATGCATACTGGGAGAAGCCTGCATACTGGGAGAGGCCTGCATACTGGGAGAGGCCTGCATACTGGGAGAGGCCTGCATACTGGGAGAAGAGTAGCCCCTGCTCCCCACAACTGGAGAAAGAGCCAGTGCAGTCAAAAATAATTAATAAAAAAATTAATAAATTAATTGATTTTTTAAAGGGGGAACAATTATATATTGTTTGTACCTGCATCCATCTATTTCCTGGAGAACACATCTATTTCTGGTAACCTGCTGGGGGGAACTCAGTGGCTGGACAAGGAGATGAAGGAAGAAACTCTTGACCTATACTCTGTATCTTTGAATTTTAACATTGTGTAAATATCTAAACAAATAAACCTAAATAGGGCTTCCCTGGTAGCTCAGTGGTAAAGAATCCGCCTGCCAGTGCAGGACACACAGGTTCGATCCCTGATCCGGGAGGATCCCATATGCTGCCCAGCAACTTAAGCCCGTGGGCCACAACTATTGAGCCTGTGCTGTGGAACCAGGCAGCCACGGACTAGTGAGCCCACATGCTGCAACGACTGAAGTCCGGGCGCCCAAGAGCCGGCGCTCCGCAACAAGAGAAAGCCACTGCAACCAGAAGCTTGCTCACCGCAAGGAGAGAAAACCTCGCTGGGAGCAACCAACACCCAGAACGGCCAAAAATAAATAAAACAAAAATAAACCTAAATACATTCTGGACGAATTCGATGGCACTTCTGGAAATAGAGGCAGGGCCCCACCCCCGATAGTCTGCTGACTACAGAGGCAGAGAAGTCATCACGTTTGCCGGAGACCAAGAGCAGTATCTCCGCGCTCTCAGTTCCGGCAGTGCTCACAGCAAGTCCCCGGACGTTATCGCGTGGAGAGCTCCGGAAGGTTTATTATCTCGGTTTGCAGATGACGAAACCAAGGCGGAGAGAGTCTCCGCCTCATCTTGGCTCCGGGTGGGGACAGGGGAGCGGGCCAGGGACCTCCTTCTCACAGGGGCCCCAGCCTCGCCCTTGTGCCGGGCGGACGGCTCTCGCGCGCCCCTCGCAGGCCTGCCGGGAGCCTTTTATCGGATGAAGTGGGCGGTGTTCTCTGGTTGGCAGAATAAAGGCACCTTGGGCTGGGGACAAAGCCTAGACACTGTGTGTGTGTGTGTGTGTGTGTGTGTGTGTGTGTGTGTAAGAAAAAGTGTGTGAGGTTCCAGTGTGTCTGAAGCTTTGTGAGTCTGCTGTATGCGTGTGCGCCGGCGGTGAGTTGACTCTGTTAGAGTTGGGGGTGTGTGTGCATGGGTGAAATGGGGGCGTTTGTGTACATGTGTGCTCATGTGTCGCAGCGCAGGGCAATCCCTGTCCTTGACGATACTGCTCTGGTGTCACCTCTGTGAAACCACCCTGACCTCCCTGGCCAGCATCACTCAGTCTCTCTCCTGGTGCCCTCCGTCCTGGACACAGCTCCATCACCCCGCCTGACACACATCCTTTATTAAACCTTACTGCTGACTTCCCTGTCCCTCTCCTGTCTGGGCAGGGAGCCGAAGTCTGCACGGGACAGGGCACATGATGGCCCATCCATGCTTGTGTGCATGTTTGATGTCACATGAGAAGCCTGTGTATGTTGGAAGGTGTCAGGGGGTGGGGAAGGGTCCCATCTGACAAAGTTAAGTACACTCACTCTGTTTGGATACTGGGGGGCCTATAGTCCTTCTCCCAGATTTCTCCCCCACAGGCCTCCTACTCAGAGCTGCCCAACCCCATGACAAAGGGCAGGCCATCTCTCATGTGGTTACTTATGGACCCAGGGTCAGCCAGACTGCTTTTTCCTCTGTGGCCTGATTTTAGGGCAAGGCATCTGTCCGTCAGCTGGATAGGATAGGGGCTGCCTTGGGACACCAGTCCCCACCTCCTGTTGGCCGCTTGGGACTTGGATCTCTGGGATTCTTGTCCTCCCAACTGGTCCTGGAGTCAGTTCGAAATTGCCAGATCAAACTTAATGTCTCTCTCCAACCCCCAAGCACAAGGCCTGAATTCTCAGTCCCTGAGGTCTATTATGTTATGTTCACTCTAGTAACAGCTGTTGTGCATTTTTATTTGTTCTGTCTTCTGCAGATAGAGCCTAGGACTCCAGGATCATTCCCCCTGTTAAGGAGAAGTCCTTCCTCCTGTTTATCTCCTTTCTTTTCCAATCAAGGTCTGAAGCTTCTCCCCTTCTCTTCCAGAAACAGTGCTGAAAGGAAGAAATAGAGCTTAAATGGTTACACTACTCAGACTCCAGAACTACACGCTCTCTGGAGTGGTTGGCCCAGCTCCACCAGTGGCAAGATTTTTAGCTCCAGGCAAGTGTGTCAGATCAAAGTCTTTCTCAAATTGGATAATTCAAGGACTGTTTCATAAAAGGATTATGTGCAAAGGTATGGGCAGAGTATTGGTGAACCGCAAGGAATAGTGGGTGCATTACCCCCAAGCTAGTAGCAGTGGCTTAGTTACCGCCCTCAGGGGCCCAGGAGATGGAGGGAGCATGGTTCCTAGAATCTGGAGAGAAAGGGCCCCCCAGAAAGCAGACGGCAGGTGCTGTGATCTACAGCAACCCCACAGAGGGAGGGCAGGGACACACCCAGACTCACTCTCCTCTAACTCATCTCCTGTCAGTGCCGTTCTCCAGCCAACCCCTACAGAAGTCACGGGACAAGGCCCTCAGCCTCCTGGTTGAGCAGAGTGGAAAGGCTAAAGAAAGGATATGGAGTGGCAACAGAAGTAATCCAACACACCCTGCTAGCCTGAGTTCCCTCATCGGTAAAACGGGCTATTAGGGGAATTCCCTGGCAGTCCAGTGGTTAGGACTCTGATTTCACTGCTAGGGCCTGGGTTCAATCCCTGGTCACAGAAATAAGCTCACACAAGCCACACATGCAGCCAAACTAACTTAAAATGAAACAAACCGGGCTATTAGTCCCACCTTGCCTCTAGATTGTCATGATGATAAAAGGTGAGGATGTGTATGAGGCCTTGCATGTTGTACCAGCACATGCTGTGTGCTCAGTGAACAGACCCAGTGGCCTGCCTGTTGATTGTAATGATGAACTGACATGGCAAACTTGTGTGCCTCCTCAGTCGATTCATTCGTGTCCAACTCTGCGACCCTATGGACTGTAGAGACCAGGCTCTTCTGTCCATGAGATTCTCCAGGCAAGAAGACTGAAATGCGTTGCCATGTCCTCTTCCAGGGGATCTTCCCGACCCAGGGATCGAACCCACGCCTCTTATGTTCCCTTCATTGGCAGGCGGGTTCCTATCTAAAACAGAGACCTTGGATGTTTTCCACTGCAAATCTCTCTTCCCTTCCTGACCTGAGTGCTCAAGCCAGAGTCCCTCGGTGCCATGCTTTTGGGTCTGGAAGCCTTGCTCTGCCTCTCCCCACGTGGCACCATCATTCCATTCTGTCTGCTCTTCTCCAACATACATCTCAGATCTGGTTCCCACTCTCCATCTTCACCGCCACTTTGCTAGTCCTCCCACCTCGATTTCCCCTAAAACTCCTCACTGGTCCTCCTTCACCTACTGTCTGGTCTCTAAAGCGTCAGTAGACTGCCAGCCTCCTGGATGAGCCCACTGCCCTCCAAGGCCCTGTTTCTGTCTCCAGTTTCACAGGGACTATGCGCCTCTACTCTCTCTGCAGCTTGCCCTGGCTAGCACCAGGCTTTTCCTTCCTCAGAGTCTTGGCATATGTTATTTCCAACCCCACAGAAAACTTGTGCCAAATTGTCCCCACTGGTTCTTTCTCCTCCTCCAAATCTCAGCTTAAATATGATCACTGCAGGGACTTCCCTGGTGGTCCAGTGGTTAAGATTCCATGCTTCCAGTGCAGGGGGCCCAAGTTCAATCTCTGGTCAGGGAACTAGATCCCACATGCTGCAACTAAGACCTGGCATGGCCAAGTAAAGAAATGTCGTTAAAAATATATGATCACATCAAAGTGGCTTTCCCCAACCACCTCATCTAAAACACTTCCCCTTCTCCTCACAGGCTTCTCTGTTCCAGCACCATGATGCATTTCTTCATAGAATTTACAAAGTATGTAGTTATATATTTATTTGCTTAACACTTGTTTATAGTCTGTCTTATCACCATACTAAAAATTCCATAGAAGGGCACGGGCTCTATTTCACTTACCACTGCATCCTCAGGACCTGGCATAGAGTAAGTGCTCAATAAATATTGCAAATGGTCATTGAGCAGACAGGAGCCAATGTGATAATGACAATGATGCTATCAGAGCCCTTCTAGAGAATCTCACTGCATGATCAAAATGTTCCCCATCCCCTTTCTTCAACCTCCAGTCCCTACCCTAGATCCCCTGCTTCCTAGATCCATCTAGGGCTAACTTCAGCAAAGTACAAAGGGACCATAGTGAAAAGTGAAAGTTGCTCAGTTGTGTTTGACTCTCTGTGATCCCATGGACTACACAGTCCATGGAATTCTCCAGTCCAGAATACTGGAGTGAGTAGCCATTTCCTTCTCTAGGGGATCTTCCCAACCCAGGGATCGAACCCAGGTCTCCCGCATTGCAGGTAGATTCTTTACCAGCTGAGCTACCAGGGAAGCCCCTCAAAGGGACCATATTACCGGCAAAAAAAAAATCTCTATTCAGGTTGATGACCAGACAGAATGGATGAATTAAAAATTTATCAGGAAAAATGGATTGGAGAAGGGAAGAATGCCAGAAGACAGGGGCAGAGAGCCAGCAGGTCCAGGGGAGGGACTCTGCGTGGGGGTAGGGGTGGCCCACTGGGTGTGCCCCTTTTCTTTTTTCTGGCTCCTTTGATAAGACCAGCAGTTTTGTTATCCTCTCCCCGTTCTCTCTCCACAGTCCAGGAGGCTGCAGCTCCGAATTTTGAAGCATGTCAGGGCAGGAGAACATGCCCCCCAACTGGCTCTGGTCATGGCTTTGTAAGTCCCAAAGGGATTTATTGAAGTCCATCCTGACTGGGGCTCCAGGAGGTAAGAAGGGGCACCAGATGCTATTGAAGAGAAGGGGAGAAATGCTGCTGGCTAGGAGGTATTTGGGGAGGATCTGTGTTCAGAGTCTCCTCCGTGTTAATTTATAGACCCTGGTCTGGGCCTCTTCTCCCAACCCCAATAGGCAGGGCAGAGGGGAGCTTGCAGCTTGGGAGCCAAGGGGCATTCTCATGACTGCTGGACTCTGGCCCCTGGTGCACAGGACTTCCAGTGAGAGGGGAGGCACTGGTGACACTTTAACCAGGATACAGAGCTGATCCCCCGCCCAGCCGGCCTCCTGCCTCCAACCATTAACAGTATAGAGCAGATCCCCGGAGACAGACAGGTGTGCAGTGGCATGGAACGTGTGGCTGGTACTGGGGGTCCTCTCCCTCTGAGCTGGGCTGGGGCAAGCTACAGAGACTTCAGGACCTGGAGTAGCACTGAAGGGGGCTGAGGAAACTCAAAGGAGGGAGTGGGAGGCCAGTCAGTTGTCAGGGGCTGGAGGGAAGAAGACAGGAACCTTAGGAAGGGGAACTGGGTGTTTCTCGGCCTGGAAATGAAGGGCCACTGTGGACTAGATATCAAGGGGGGCTGAGGCTGAGAGAAGTCAGCAGCTAAAGGGCAAGAAGTCTGAGGTTGTGAGGGACCAGATAGCTAGGTGATCAAGAATTTGAGCCTGGAGTTAGTCAGACCTAAATGGGAATCTTATCTCTGTTCATTAGAAGCTATACAACCTTGGGCAACTGATTTAACCTTTCTCAGCCTCTGTTTCCTTACCTAGAAGATGGGGATAATTACAGAGCATATAACAGTACCTGCTTACTAGCGTCCTGGTGACTAAATAAGATAATATATGCATAATGCCCAGCTCATAAGACTCAACAAAAACTGGAAAACTGAGGGAAGGAACAGAAAGCGCGCTGAGATGAAAGGATGGGGACCAGAGGCAGGTGCCCATGCAGCCCCTTTCTACTGCAGGACCAGCGGGGTACCTGCGGCGGGCTAGTGTGGCCCAGATGACCCAGGAGCTGGGCATTTCCTTCTTCCAGCGGCAGCAGCTGCCAGCCGCCATGGCAGACACCTTCCTGGAACATCTGTGCCTGCTGGACATCGACTCTGAGCCTGTGGTCCCTCGCAGTACCAGCATCATCGCCACCATCGGTAAGCACCCCCACCCCCCCTGCAGCGTCACACGGCCTCATGTGTGTTTCTCAAGGTGCTGCCTCATCTTTTGTGTTCTTTGAGACTTCTTGTTTGACTGAGGGATAAATAAATAAATATATATTTTTAAAATTTATTTATTTACGGCTGCCCGGGGTCATTGCTGCAAGAGGGCTTTCTCTGATTGCGGAGGGCAGGGGCTCCTCTCTAGCTGTGGTGTGCAGGCTCCTCATTGCAGTGGCTTCTTCTGTAGAGCATGGACTCTGGGACAAGTGCGCTCAGTCTCTGTGACTTGGAGTCTCTAGAACAAGGCTCGGCAGTCATGCTGCACAGGCTTAGTTACCCTGAAACATGTGGGATCTTCCTGGATCAGGAGTCAAACCGGAGTCCCCTGCATTGCAAGGGAGATTCTTAACCACTGGACAACTTCAGAAGCCCAACAAATATTTGTTGAGTGCTTGGTAGATAAGCTTCTGGGTCCTGGGAGTATAAAAAAAAAATCTCTATTCAGGTTGATGACCAGACAGAATGGATGAATTAAAAATTTATCAGGAAAAATGGATTGGAGAAGGGAAGAATGCCAGAAGACAGGGGCAGAGAGCCAGCAGGTCCAGGGGAGGGACTCTGCGTGGGGGTAGGGGTGGCCCACTGGGTGTGCCCCTTTTCTTTTTTCTGGCTCCTTTGATAAGACCAGCAGTTTTGTTATCCTCTCCCCGTTCTCTCTCCACAGTCCAGGAGGCTGCAGCTCCGAATTTTGAAGCATGTCAGGGCAGGAGAACATGCCCCCCAACTGGCTCTGGTCATGGCTTTGTAAGTCCCAACGGGATTTATTGAAGTCCATCCTGACTGGGGCTCCAGGAGGTAAGAAGGGGCACCAGATGCCATTGAAGAGAAGGGGAGAAATGCTGCTGGCTAGGAGGTATTTGGGGAGGATCTGTGTTCAGAGTCTCCTCCGTGTTAATTTATAGACCCTGGTCTGGGCCTCTTCTCCCAACCCCAATAGGCAGGGCAGAGGGGAGCTTGCAGCTTGGGAGCCAAGGGGCATTCTCATGACTGCTGGACTCTGGCCCCTGGTGCACAGGACTTCCAGTGAGAGGGGAGGCACTGGTGACACTTTAACCAGGATACAGAGCTGATCCCCCGCCCAGCCGGCCTCCTGCCTCCAACCATTAACAGTATAGAGCAGATCCCCGGAGACAGACAGGTGTGCAGTGGCATGGAACGTGTGGCTGGTACTGGGGGTCCTCTCCCTCTGAGCTGGGCTGGGGCAAGCTACAGAGACTTCAGGACCTGGAGTAGCACTGAAGGGGGCTGAGGAAACTCAAAGGAGGGAGTGGGAGGCCAGTCAGTTGTCAGGGGCTGGAGGGAAGAAGACAGGAACCTTAGGAAGGGGAACTGGGTGTTTCTCGGCCTGGAAATGAAGGGCCACTGTGGACTAGATATCAAGGGGGGCTGAGGCTGAGAGAAGTCAGCAGCTAAAGGGCAAGAAGTCTGAGGTTGTGAGGGACCAGATAGCTAGGTGATCAAGAATTTGAGCCTGGAGTTAGTCAGACCTAAATGGGAATCTTATCTCTGTTCATTAGAAGCTATACAACCTTGGGCAACTGATTTAACCTTTCTCAGCCTCTGTTTCCTTACCTAGAAGATGGGGATAATTACAGAGCATATAACAGTACCTGCTTACTAGCGTCCTGGTGACTAAATAAGATAATATATGCATAATGCCCAGCTCATAAGACTCAACAAAAACTGGAAAACTGAGGGAAGGAACAGAAAGCGCGCTGAGATGAAAGGATGGGGACCAGAGGCAGGTGCCCATGCAGCCCCTTTCTACTGCAGGACCAGCGGGGTACCTGCGGCGGGCTAGTGTGGCCCAGATGACCCAGGAGCTGGGCATTTCCTTCTTCCAGCGGCAGCAGCTGCCAGCCGCCATGGCAGACACCTTCCTGGAACATCTGTGCCTGCTGGACATCGACTCTGAGCCTGTGGTCCCTCGCAGTACCAGCATCATCGCCACCATCGGTAAGCACCCCCACCCCCCCTGCAGCGTCACACGGCCTCATGTGTGTTTCTCAAGGTGCTGCCTCATCTTTTGTGTTCTTTGAGACTTCTTGTTTGACTGAGGGATAAATAAATAAATATATATTTTTAAAATTTATTTATTTACGGCTGCCCGGGGTCATTGCTGCAAGAGGGCTTTCTCTGATTGCGGAGGGCAGGGGCTCCTCTCTAGCTGTGGTGTGCAGGCTCCTCATTGCAGTGGCTTCTTCTGTAGAGCATGGACTCTGGGACAAGTGCGCTCAGTCTCTGTGACTTGGAGTCTCTAGAACAAGGCTCGGCAGTCATGCTGCACAGGCTTAGTTACCCTGAAACATGTGGGATCTTCCTGGATCAGGAGTCAAACCGGAGTCCCCTGCATTGCAAGGGAGATTCTTAACCACTGGACAACTTCAGAAGCCCAACAAATATTTGTTGAGTGCTTGGTAGATAAGCTTCTGGGTCCTGGGAGTAGGTCAGTGAAATGAAATAAACAGACAGGGACTTCTCTGATTAGGATTCCATGCTTTCACTGCAGAGGGCCCAGGTTCTGTCCCTAGCTGGGGAAGTAGATCTCACTTGCACAGCATAGCCAAATAAGTAAAAATAATTATTTTTTTAAAAAGAGACTCCCCTGGTGGTCCAGTGGCTAAGACTCCATGCTCCCAACACAGGAAGCCCAGGTTCAATCCCTGGTCAAGCAACTAGAACCCACATGCCACAACTAAGACCCAGCATAACCAAATAAATAAATATTAAAAAGAAAAAAACAGACAAAGATCCCTACTCTTGGGGAGCTGACAATCTAGCTGGGTGGGACAATAGTAAATATAATAAGTTATTTTAAAAATAAGGAAAGTATTTAGTATATTAGAAACTGATAAGTACTATGGAAAAAAATTTTTTTAAAAATCAAGCATGAGAACGGGCATTAAAATGCAAGGGCAGGAGAGAGGCTGTAGTCCTAATAGGGAGTCAGGGTAGCCATGGTTGAGAAAACTAGACCTGAACGAAGACTTGAGGGGGATGAGAAAACGAGCCATGCAGATGTCTGGGGGAAGAGAGTTCCAGGCAAAGGGAATAGTCAGTGCCAAGGCCCTAAGTCAAGGAGGCCGGAAACCATCAAGGGGAAGAGCAGCAAAAATGAAGAGATTGGAGGAAGGGGAAGATCATGGCGGGTTTAGTAGGCCATTTTTAGAATTTGAGTTGAGTTTCACTCCAAGTGCAATGCGAAGCTGAAACCACTGTAGTTTTGAGCAGGAGTTACATGCTGTTACTTGGGTCTTAACAGAACTGCCCTGGCTGCTATATTGAAAGTAGACTGGGGTTGGGGGTGGGGGTGAGCGCTGAAGCTGCTCTGGCAGTATCTCTGGTTTAGACCAGGTGGTGGCTGTGGAGCTGCTGAAGGGACGATATTCTGAATGTATTTTGAAGGTTGAGCCAACAGGCTATGATGGATCTGGGTGGGGGTGGGGGTGAAAAAGGAGTCAAGGACTAGTCCCAGTGTTTTGGCGTGAGGAGCTAGAAGAACCCATTATCAACTGAGCAGGAGAAGCTATGGTGGAAAGGTTTAGAGGAGAGATCAGTTCAGTTTGGGGCTTGTTGAGTTTAATTACACATATTAGACACACAAGTGTGGTACAGAGTAGGCAATCAGATACACAACTCTGGTTTGGGGAGAGGGGTCTAAACTGGAGATGTAAATTTGGAAGTTGTTGACATACTGATGGTATGTAAAGCCATGAGACTAGTTGAGACTACCAAGGGAGTGAAAGTAAAATGAGAGAAGAGGAGTGGTCATCTAATGGGAGCTAAGGCTGAAAGGGGGCAGCCAGTGAGGTAGAACTAAACCAGGAGAGGCTGGTGCTCTGGAGGCCAAGCCAAGAATGTATGTCAAAGATGTGTGTCAAATACTGCTGACAGACCAGCCAATGATGAGGACTAACCACTAGATTTAGCAACAACACAGAGGTTGTTGACTAGAGATCTCTTCAAGAAAATTAGAGATACCAAGGGAACATTTCATGCAAAGATGGGCTCAATAAAGAACAGAAATGGTAGGGACCTAACAGAAGCAGAAGATATTAAGAAGAGGTGGCAAGAATTTTGTACAGAAGAACTGTACAAAAAAAATCTTCACGACCCAGATAATCATGATGGTGTGATCACTCACCTAGAGCCAGACATCCTGGAATGTGAACTCAGGTGGACCTTAGAAAGCATCACTATGAACAAAGCTAGTGGAGGTGATGGAATTCCAGTTGAGCTATTTCAAATCCTAAAAGATGATGCTGTGAAAGTGCTGCACTCAATATGCCAGCAAATTTGGAAAACTCAGCAGTGGCCACAGGACTGGAAAAGGTCAGTTTTCATTCCAATCCCAAAGAAAGGCAAT